GCCTCCAGCGTACATTTGCTGTCATGTTAAACTTATATTAAAGTTTTTCTTCATTACCCATTTAAGCCGCCTCCAGCGTACATTTGCTGTCATGTTAAACTTATATTTAAGTTTTTCTTCATTACCCATTTAAGCCGTCTCCAGCCATTATTTACCTTTAATCTATTAGAATTACAGGGACATGTAGGGCCGGATTAAGGGCTTGGGGGCCTCAGAAGTGAACTTTATAAATAAGTCAAATACAGCTCATTACTATCTATTAAATACAATTTGAGTAACATACAAACACAAGCAATGGCTATAGAATATATGAAATATTAATTCATATATTTATATTAGATATCAAATAATCACAGCGAACATTTTTCTTAAACGGGCAAAACAAATTTATGGATGAACAAGGTGTTAAAACGTATTAAGGAAAACTTACAAAATAATAGGTTGATATGAAAAGTTGAAATCGCTGTTGTCATAACAACAAAGTTGTTGCAAACGTATGTTTTTAATGACATATTCAGTTTTTGATTATTTTGTTTTTTCTTAGTTCTTCCCCGATCTGGGAAGTCTGAGTCAATCGCATTCATTCACTCCTTAATGAGGCCCTGGGAATGTGTGTGAGTTCTTCATTTAATTCCACAATAAAAAGCCACGTAAAAGTGGTATTTTGAGCTTTAACATTTATTTATCTTGGTCTCGAATGTAAAAGTGTTTCAAGGTTCAGCGAAGAAAACAAAGTGATTGATTATAATGAACTATTTCTGAAAGATTAAAATAAAATGCATTATTAATATTGCCTTTCTGCTGTAAGTTCAACTTTTTGTCACATTTATATATAGAAGGTGCATGCTTTGATAACAAGATCAACCATTAGCATTCGGGTAAAGAGAATGTAGCACGCGATAATTTCTAAAAACATTATGATCATCCGTACATAAAGTGTGCACTTTTCGACGTCGACTTCCAAGACCACAATCAATGAAACAAATTTCTATTGCAGCTTCACCGAGAGATTTTACAGGTATGTAGTCAAATGGGCTTTTTATTATTCCGTTTTCTTCCAATCATCTTTCTCATGAAAACAGCTGTTGATTTCGAGTTGTGACTGGAAGCTTGTCAGCCTTTGTCAACTTCAAATCTCTCAACTGCTTATTATCGCCTCATTCATACCAAGAGATAATCTCAACTTCATCACAATGGTGTTTTGGGTTGGATGGTTCTCAATTTAGCTACAGCCTTTGTTATATAGATGCACACTGATGTCCAACAGATAAGTTAAAGGATCTACAAAATTAAGTTGGGCAAAGAATATATCGAATGCGGACAGCTCCTTTGTCCGTGTGGATTTCTCTAGTTGCGCGACACTGTGGTATCCATTATTCAGCTAACACTTCTGGAAGGGGCTGCACAAACTTTTCAAACAACGGATAAGACAAAAACTACTTCTGCACATTCGTGACACTCCATGGAACTCCAGTCCTTGCATTATAGAAAGCCTGCAGTATTTCCCATCTTAAAGCTCCGGGAAGCTCTAACTGCATCATAACTTGGATATCACGTCTCGTTGGTACGTAAAGATGGCGAAGCTCGCCATCCTGCGCTCATAACTGACTACATACTTGTCATATATTGCGCACATCATTACAACATTTTCCAGCTGTACATTCGATAAAGATCAATGAAGTCTCTTTACTTCAAAATGTCCTTTTGCTCTATATAAATATCGTTTAAAAATCGTAGTAGAAGAATATTTTTCATCGAAACAAACGCGAAAAATATTTCTACAGCCAAGATAAGAAGAAAAATCATGACGTCAGTACACTACCGTCCATTGGTCGATAATTCGCCGTGAATCGTCTGTTGTGCTTTGGCACGCACCTGGAGCAAAATATTATATTAGTACACAAATCATGCTTATGAAATGTGATTACAACTCTATATTAACAGAAAGAGTTAACTCTCTGTTAATTAATAAGCAAACTATCTTTACCCATGTAAAATGACGATGCACGTTCTGTTAATATCTCTAACGGTTTGTCACCCGTACAAAGAGAGTACACTCCTCGATAATAGGTCAAACCATTATTACCAGTGATAGCAAGTATAATCTCTCATAATATTTACCATTATTACCAGTGATAGTCTCTCATAATATTTACCATTATCACCAGTGATAGCAAGTATAATCTCTCATAATATTTACCATTATAACCAGTGATAATCTCTCATAATATTTACCATTATCACCAGTGATAGCAAGTATAATCTCTCATAATATTTACCATTATTACCAGTGATAGCAAGTATAATCTTATCACTGGTGATAATGGTAAATATTATGAGTCTCTCATAATATTTACCATTATTACCAGTGATAATCTCTCATAATATTCACCATTATCACAAGTGATAATCTCTCATTATATTTACCATTATCACAAGTGATAATCTCTCATTATATTTACCATTATCACCAGTGATAATCTCTCATAATATTCACCATTATCACCAGTGATAATCTCTCATAATATTTACCATTATAACCAGTGATAATCTCATAATATTTACCATTATCACCGTATACTTTCTCACAATAGGTGAACTATTGTCATCCGCTCAAAAGACTTTATTCGTAGAAAATATTTCAGACCATTGCTACTCTTATATAGAACAAGTCTGAAAATATCAAACTCTTATCAATCCAGTACAGTTTCTGGTGATGTCTAAAATAAATGCCACCCTTGTAATAAGATTTTATTCTCTAATAATAGACCAGCTTTTAATATCATAATTCGTACAATTTTTGTTACAGTGTAAAGTTGAATTCTAGCTCAAACCATTATTAACCGTGCTTAGTTCTTTATAAAAAAAATCATAAGATCTTGAAACTAAGAAACAATAGTAACAGGAGATCCAGGTTAAGTATATCATTTCCAGGAAAAGCTCGAATATATCTGAGAACACTGTGTTATAGCTGTCACGCGTGCTTTACTAACTACATATAAGAGTTCAGTTCATCCACGAACGTCTAACAGGAACAGCAGTTCAATAATTGAGATAGAGCTTTTTTTATTATTTCCGGCGTAAAACGACTTTATTCCTGCTTAAAATACAAAATCAAAATCATGTCAGACAGCGAGCGAAACGAAAACTCGAAACAGTTGTCAGTTAGTGAGTGAAAACGGAAATCAGAAAGATTTTGAAATATGAGCCCTTAAACTGACTAGCTACAGCGTATCAATCATTAACAGTTACGTAACATCAACTGTCATGTCTGTATAGAATAAATATGGTGTACCCTACAAATGAAAGTTAAATGAGCCATAATATCTGAATATAATTATGTTAGACGAAACCAATCACACCCTGCAGTCACTTCGTTTACTGAAAACTAGATGTGTAATAATTTACATTAAAATACAATATAGATACATTTAAACAGAGTGATGTCATTCGGGTTTTATATTTTACTGAGTTTCACTTGAGTGTTTGTGTGTGTGTGTGTGTGTGCTACCAAGCACAAAGCTAAACAATGGGCTTTCTACGCTCTGCCCACCTCGGAATCAAAACCCGATTTTTAGTGTTATATGCCTTCAGTCTTTAGGCTGAAAGCTTGTAAGGGGTGGGGGAGATTATTTTTGTAGTATAAAATTTCTGCTTGTATATCTCATGATGTCTGAATATCAATGAAAAGAAGGTTACTGTAAATATACAAGCACTGATAGAAACTAGTTTGGGTTAATAAACCAACACATAACTACAGTGATCATTGTAAAGTTATAATAGCCCTATAGTACAGGTAAAATAACTCCGACATATGCACAATTTTAGAGAACCTTCCTGTACCTTGTTATGAGACAAAAGATCTTTGAAAATAACCTTTAGTAAAAACATTCGATTACTTGTAACATTTTTAGTTATTGAAAGTTTTACATCATTTCATAAGAGTAAAAACATTTGTCGTATAGTGACATCTAGTTGAAAATTATAGTGTGTTGTTATTAATATCATTACAATATTTTTAAGTGTTTGGTAGGAAAATGTCATTAAGATAAAATATTCATTTTAGATTAATATCAAGTTCGAGAAAATTCAAATTTTATGCTATATTTTTATTCCTAACTATTATCTCTAATCATATGATAATTGTATCTTTTTTATTCGCCATTTTGCTGACAATTATGGGAATTTTCGAGACCCATGACTTAAAAAGGTTAGTTCTAAATATGAGATACCTCTTCAGTTTATACTGTTTTCTTATTGTAATTTCAACTTTTATCTCAGATTTAAAACTTAAGAGTGGCTCACTATCTACAAAAAAAATTCAAAGCATAAAGTAATTTTACAAAGATAAGTACAAAAATCAATAAGATTGAGAAAAACGATAAATACTAAAGTATACGATATTCTTTAGTAAACTACCAAAGCTTAAAGTAGATTTAAAGGACACAGCAACTGACCTATATTCACCAAAATGCGAAGTACTGTAATTTACATTGTGTTTCATTGTATCTTATAGGTCTGCGAATTGTGACAAGGTTTCTTTCTTCTCCTTTTTTTTTTTTTTTTTTTTTTTTTAACACGCACCTCCAGCAGCTGGAGAATCAAACGGTTATTCATGCTGTTCCATACAAATACGTACCGGTCAAGTCGTCGGAAACAGTGCTTGTGGATTTCTGTGCGATCCGACTGTTGAAAAGTGCGCTGGAAAATCGTTGTCCTCGTATATTAGATAGCTTATGGTAAGCTAGCGCTAGCAGGGGAAAATGGTGTGCTTCGGACGTGACAGCCCTACTACAGAGTCTTCTCCGGTGGAAACTACGCTGCTGGGCTTTGTGAAGATACACTGTCGCCAGATAAAGTATGGCAGAACGTAGCGACGTGGAATGTAATAACGTATTCAAACACTGTATTCTACTAACAGCTTCCATATCTAATCACATTTAAATGTTACGAAAATAGTTTAACACAAAATTTGCAAGTAAAAACTCAATTTATAAAATCTTAAATACATTAAAGAAAATTAAATTTGGTTGAATTTCGCGCAAAGCTACACGAGGGCTATCTGCGCTAGCCGTCCCTATTTTAGCAGTGAAAGACTAGAGGGAAGGCAGCTAGTCATCACCGCCCACCACCAACTCTTTTACTAACCAATAGTCGGATTGACCGTCACATTATAACGCCCCCTCGGCTGAAAGGGCGAGCATGTTCATTAATGGGAATTCGATCCTGCGACCCTCGTATTACGAGTCGAGCAACCTAACCACCAGGCGATGCCAGGCCTTATTAAATTGGGTAAAATATAAAATGTACTTAAAAGGGTTTATTTGTTTGGGTTTAAGCAGAAAGCTACACAATAGGCTATCTGTACTGTGGGTATCGAGCCCCGATTTTTAGCGTTAAAAGTCCTCAAACTTAATGATGAGCCACGAGAGGATGTTTTAATAGTTTGTTACTTTAATGTTATTTTCTACAAAAAATGATAAATGGAAACGTCTAGTATCTGATAGCATCTGTATAGTGTTTAGCATTCTTTACGCCAATGACATTACACTTTTTTTTTGTCAATAAACGGATGTAATGTCAATGGTGTAAAAATTATAAGAAATAATTTAGAAGCTCCAGTTCATAAATTTAACAGCTTGAATGTATGTTATCTGTCTAGTTTTGTTTTTCCATTTGAGATAAAACAGTAAATCTATTTCGTTAAGTTATAAAGCAGCTGAAATGAATAATTAGTTTCGAAGTTCAACCATCTTGTCAGATTCTATTAAAGGATTTTTCTTTTCCGAGAAAACACAAGCCGTGACTTATTTAGTGATTGAACTATCAATGATACTTTCAGTAAGCCTTATTAGATGGTCTGTAGTCTGTTGATTTTTTTCTAGAGCAAATGTGATGTTCATTTATCATATTCTTTATTTCAATAAATTTAATCTGTTGCCAATAATATTCTCCAAACATCTTTGCTACGCAACTTTTTAAAATTATAGATCAGTAGTTCATGGTATTTCTTATACCTTTATTAGGCTTTGGAATTATATTGGTCCTAATAGTCTCTCAAAAATCAGGGGAAACGTTTGTTTTTAACTATAAAGTATAAAAATTCGCTTAAAATTATTTAATCAGTTTTCTTTATCTCATCATAGTTAGGTGTGAGATTCTTGCTATTTTTAGTGATTTTTTAAGGATATTAATTATTTATTATATTAGTAGGAAAATTTCTATTATTACTTAAGTTAACAGGAAAGGTAGGTGTTATTCGTTATTTGTGCAATCTATTAGCAACACAAGTAAACCTAATTGTATTGACATTTAAATCATTGCTGGATTTGTCTGTGTGTGTCGGTGTTTTTCATTTAATTTTTTTTTATTCTAAAAGTTATTTTGGTCCAAGGCTGTCTTTGTAATGGTATTGTGTTTCAAATGACAATAAATATATTTTTCATTGTCATTAACATAACTTTTTATTTTTTCAAAAAGTTTCTATTGTCCTATTTACGATTTACGTTATCGTAGAAATTGTTAAAATATTTGATTTTGTTTTCGTTCACGTATCATATTTTTAACCCTCCTTTATTTATAAAGTTCATTTTTAAAATTAGGATTCATAGGTTGTTCATGTGTATTCTTATAGGAGACCTTTTATTTTGGTCTTATTCTCAATTTCTTTAGTATATTTTTTATTTTGTTTGTATCTGAGGATAGAATATTTTATTCAATTAGACTTTTAATAATAATAGAAGAAGAAACATTCAGTTGTTCTTAAGCTTCAGTTGTAATAGATTCATAATTTTCATATTTATTTTTCATTTTGTAGTTGATATTTTAAACGTTTAATTTATTAGCGTTGCTACTTACGTTCTTCTGTGTGTGTGTTAACATTGTTCTCAGAAATCATAATAGGAGAGTGGTCACTATTGAAATCGGGACCAATATCAAAATTTCATATTGTCAGTTTTTGTGTATGGGCAGGATTCTTTACAGTAGGTGTCTGTGACTTGTTGGTAATAAATTTCAACATTAAACAAACAGCACACAGTCCACTTGTTTTAAAACAATATATTGAAATATGTCAAACGTATATACAAATGTTCATTACACTGTTGGTTATCACATTTGTATCCAGAGCTTTAAATAATTGTCTCCTTTCTTGTCGAGTTTCACACAAGCTGGTTCAATTACTTTAGAACGCAATTTGACAAGATAAATTATTCTTCTCTGCTTTGTTATTACAATATAATTTGTGATATTTCACTTTAAAAATCGGTACTATACACTCTTTATGGCTAAACTCACAATCACTCAGTCTAGATCTGTATATCTAAATCGAACTACATTTTCGATGCGTATTTATACCCCAACAGAGGCCTAGAACTTTCCACACCGTACGAGATAATATGACAACACTCAATTAAAACAACTAAAAAACATAGAAGGTTCTAGTAACATGACGCAATAACACAACAATTGAACTACACAACGTGTGATTCGTAAATAGTTACGTAAACAAGCTTGTAATAAACTATCGCTTCTAAAAATAACTAAAATGAACACTCATGATATACTTAAATTGAACCAGTCGTATATATCTAACACATATATTACTTTAGAACATAGGTGTAATAAAAATATAATCCAATATATCTCAATCGCCAGGAGTGTTACTTGTATAGTTGTGCGCTCATCATTTAGTACTGTTAAGTTCTATTTATTTACAATATGAAAATAGTCCAGTAGAATAATGGAGAACTGAAGATGAACCTTGCAATAGATTAGATACAAGTTTGTTTTTTGTTCGTTTGTTTTTCTGCAGCTTCCTATTCTCTTGAGTGGCCATTTTAAATTTTTATAATAGAATAAAATGCCCAAGAGCATCATAATAACATCTGTGGGATTCTTAATAAAAATAACCCAATTAACAGGAAACAATAAAACCTTGTATCTACCCTACTACAAGGTTCACTTTAGCCTAAAAAGATAATTTCCGACTTATTATTAGATCCAGTTGGTAGGTACTTATTGTTAAGATTTCTAGCAATTATTAAAGTTGGATTTTAATCAACTATATATTTGAATTACTGATAATTGGGAGGGCTTTTAGGAAATGAAATTAGAAACTGTAATTTTAGTTTGATTGGGATCGTGGATACTTGGGAATGTTGTGATTGATATTAGAGATTATATGTGTGCCTTGGTTAGAGGAAATTCCACCTTTAATGTTAGTAATTAGACCAATATTGTGTTTATTAGGTATATCATTTACATAAGTGATAATACATTTAGGGTTAAACTGCTTTTTATTATCAAGTCTGTGTTCAGAAACATATTACACCAAAATTTATTACCTAGCTATAGAAGGCTCTACTTAATCTCATCAACGCATCCACTTTCTAATCAAATACGGCAGATTTCTTAACACTTTCTTGTTTTTCAAAAGCAATCTATTCAAACTCCCACGTACAACCAACCAAACCTTTCTGACTTGCAACAACATTTCACTTTGTCTAAAAGAAAACGTACACTGATTGTATTATGTTTACACGAAAAAAAAAAATTCTTAAAGTCGCATAACAGTTTAACCTTCGAATTAGAAGTAAAACATTTTGACTACTAAATTAGTATAATAATAATATAAAAAAATTCTAAACAGTGTCAAATCCATTATTTAAAATTAAATATTAAACATTAAATAATCAATACAATCACTTAGCCATCTTATTCAGCCTCTTCTTAATTAAAACTGCTACGGTAAACTAGCTCAACAACTATGAAAGTTTCCCGTCTAATGTAATGAACAGACCTACAGCTTTCTGTCATTTGTTGAAGTTTGCCTACTATGCACTTTTATATAAATACGATAGCCACTCTAATTTTAAATTTAAGTAATAAAAAATAAAGATACTATTATTCCTCTACCAAATTATTCCCTCAATACTTTATCATATCTTCATTTTCTTACGTTACGTCATGCATCAATACCAATCAGATGACTCGACATTGACAAAGCGAAACCACATATTTATCTGAACATATTGTTAATACATTATAGCCACTAGTGTTAAACATTACACGAACACTCAAACTGCAGAAAATTAATCAACTTCAAATAAACTACTTAATCATTATAGCTTAGTTGATTTTTTTTTCAAAGAATTTGAAAGGAACTCTTATAAAGTTTGTTCAAACCTTCAGTGACAAGTCAGAACTGAAAACAAGCAATAAAAATTTTGAAATTTATCTAAAAGGAAATGAAGAAAAATAACTTTAGGGTGCTGCCAGTTTCCTATATAAAAATAATTTGATATTATGTAGTAGTCTGAAAGAAGAAGCACAGCACATCGTCTTTACGTAAGGACGACATCGAATGTTGTTTCTCTGAAGTCAGAATTTCAAGTGAAACTTTATAACAAGTACTACAGTAAAATAGTTACCTTAAATTTCTTATCGCGTGCTATATTGGCATGGCCTGATGGATAAAAAGTCAGAAGTTCAAATCTCATCATCAAATGTGCTCGCCCTTTCAGGTGTGGGGGCGTTATAATGGGACGGTCAATCTCACTTTACGTTGGTAAAAAAGTATCCCAAGAGTTGGTGGTGTTGACTAGCTGCTTTCCTTCTAGTCTGCCACTTCAAAATTAAGGACGAAATTGAAAAACAGACAAACATACTATATACATTATTAAATTGTCTAAGATCATTGGTGACAAACCATTTCATAACTTGTGCACGGTACACTACACTTTTACAACAATTCTAAGAACTTTTGAGTGAAAGTTAGGAACAATTTATAACAATATATCAAACACACTAGTTCTACCGTGTGATTAAGTGTCAAGGGATTTATTTAGTAAGTGAATT